TAGTCCGCCAAAATTTTAGTAACGTTTCAGAGGGCCTCTGAAACGTCGGTAAACTTCTACCAGACTACACGGCGCTACAACCCAGAAGATCGCCATCTTCGCCTTGAGAACCTCAAATTCTAAAATCTGATTAGGTTCCAAAATTGCAACACTTCGCTAAACTCTAAACAAACTGTTTAGATATGAAGAACAAATCGCTCTAATTACGTTCCAAAACCGTTCCCTTCCCCGCCTGTCATGTGAAAGCACATATCTTCGTTTCTTGGCTTAAACGTAAGTCAACGCGGTTATAAAAGTAAATATAAGGAATGCAAGCACCTGACTTTTCCAAATTAACACCTAAACTAGATTTTAGTTAAAGTTGAGCAACTAACATATTTGCGTTCCCAATCACGTTCAATGTTACTCAGTAATAACTAAAAAGGTCATAAGCAAACAGCGAGAAAACATTAAAACGTTGGGACCCGCTGCGCTGCAGTGGGGAACTCTCGTCTCAGAGCTACTTGCAGGTCACGACACCCTCGAGAAATCACCCACACCCAGACCGAAATTCTGACAGCTAGAAGGGTTTATTATCGTATGAAAAGGTGCGGCGATAGGCCATGTCTTTATACCCATACATTATGTATGGCGGCAGTGAATGCATACATCACACAATTAAATCGCAGTGCTCGTTAAATAAACCCACTTCCAGTCAGGCTCCCTATCGCGACTACTATGATGTCCACGTGTTTATATAATTTGTAAACACAGTAGAATCCCAATCATCAGAACTGAACGAGACCGAAGGACGGTCGAAAATGTCGAAGACTAATGAAATATACCTGGTAAAGTAAAGAAAAATAAGCTGTCACACGCCAGCGCTTCAACAGTAAAACGTCTTTAGCAACTGAGTGCATGATAAGAAGGTGCGTGGTGGGAGCGAGACATTCATTCCGCTACATGCCAAGTTGACTGTTGATAAAATGGAGCCTTCCGACATAGCACGTCGGATAAAACGGAATGTGAGACAACCGATGGTCGGACAATCGTAACTCAAAGACGTTAAAATAATAATCATAATCGTGAATGAAAATCCGTTAAAGCAGATCAGTCGTAATGCGAAAGGCTCGCGCCGAAAGCTACGAAACACCGCTCTTGCATGGTCTGCAGTAATAAAAGTGAGGGGGGGGGGTTAATGCATTGCATTATTTAGAGCACAGCAATTACTCTGCTTCAGCTGTTACTACACTATACCGTCTCTAAAACTGAAGATCGTAATGAACAGAACCCAAAACCCTCCGCTTAAGACAATAAACTACGACAATAAAAAATACTGCTCTCAACTGCAGTTGCATTAAAATGACGTAGCCTACTTTAAATGAATGTGTCTTACCCTTGGAAGATGCTCTCCAGTTGGATAAGCCGTCAATTCAATAAAAGCACAAGAAAACACCAACACAATTTAATTAATTCTAGTTTTATGCTACGAACCTCTGTAATAAATGAATGTGTGTTTAACCACCGCCCAAACTTAAGACAACGTGCGTCATTTAGGTACAACAAACAGCATAGAAATGTATAGCCACTAAGATAAGTTTTCTTATTTGAAGGATAATTTACAGTCAATGAATATAAAATTGAAATGCAGAAACAAAAGACTAATACCTACTTTACTTAAAAGGAAAGAAGCATTAGTCGGAAAACCTGAAAAGAAAATACTACTTAGGAGAACTAGCGTACATGGTATCATAATATTAAGTGTATCTTAGATAAACAAGTTGTTATAAGAGCACAAACAAACTAAAGTCAGCTGGCTCACGATAGAGTTCAACGCCAATCATTTGCAAATATTTTAATTAACCTTTCAATTTAATTCATGCAGGAGGTCTTGACCTATTCAGCAACTGTAAGTATTTGAAGAAAGACCCTGCACTTTTGAATTCCTTCGATACTTATTCTTTCGTTCCCCAAAAATAAATTCGATAAATGTTGGATTATCTGCAAGTTACGTGGAAGTCTTCTAATTTTATTCAGATGAGATGATGTCTACAGCTTATTCTGCAAAAGACGTGGCTATGTTCTGCAAGACCACGGTTCGATTCACGGCAGGTGCGTTGGGAATATTTTACACAAAGACGCTCAGATAAAACACCCTCACATTTGAATGGCGTTGGGAGAATTTTCCATTGGGAACAGACGGACGGAGGAAGTACATAAGAACGAGGTCTAGAACGCTCGGAATTTGGTCGCCATGCCCCTTATACGCCGTTATGGTGCGACACAACGATGCCGTCACCCATCACATCATACCTTGATGATGAAGACAGTCTG